AGGTGAAAAAAAGGAAAAGAGGAATCACAGGTAGGAACACGCTCAGTTAAAGAAACCCCCATCGCATGATGGCGGCGGCGGCGGCGGCTGGTAGAGACGAGAGTAATTTTGGACTTGGTACAGAACTCAACGCAAGCAAGCTCTTGGGCATTTGGATGCAGATCCTCTTTAAACATTCCAATCTGGTTTTGGTTTTCTTTCCTCTCCATGGGACAGTTTAGAGCTGAAAAGAAATTGGCTGTGCACCCTGCCTGCACTGATCACCTGTCTCCACACATTTGCACCAACACTGGGCACAGCAGCTCTAAAGCAGCAGTGCTCTCATGGGTCCATCTGCAGATGAGGAAACTGAGGCACAGGAAGGCAAGCTGACTTACCACAGGTGGTACAGCCAAGTCCCACATAACAAGTCCCTTATCACTTATTTTTGCGTGTATGTGAGTGTCTCTCTGTGTGTGTACATATACTCATGCACGTGGGTGCTAAAGGAGCTCAGAAGAGAGCCTTAGATACTTACAGGTGCTGGGAACTGAACTTGGGTCCTTCAGCCCCTCCCCTTGCAACATAAAAGAAACAAACTACTACAACAAATGTTTCTGTGCCATTTGCCAATTCTCTGTCCCTTTAGTGGGTGGGGGTAAATCCTCCAGTTCCTTTTCTCAATCACACACACACACACACACACACACACACACACACACACACACACACACACATATATCTGTGTCTGTGTCTAGGGACAATATATGGTGTGGCTTTTTCATATCTTAAACATTTATATAATACTATGGGTTGGATAAATGTGCCCTAGAGGTCCATGTGTTAAAAGCTTAGTTCCCAGCCCTGGTGCTACATATAATGATGGACGCTTTAGCGATCTTCTGGCCATTGGAGGAGTTCCCTTATAGGGAATTGTGACCCCTTAGTCCCATCTTCTTCCTTTCTCTCCTTGGCATTTTGGCCATGAGGTGAAAGTTTTTTTTTTTTTTTTTTCTCGAGACAGGGTTTCTCTGTGTAGCTTTGCGCCTTTCCTGGATCTCACTCTGTAGCCCAGGCCGGCCTCAAACTCACAGAGATCCGCCTGCCTCTGCCTCCCAAGTGCTGGGATTAAAGGCGTGCGCCACCACCGCCCGGCGAGGTGAAAGTTTTGATACACCCCTTGTCTCATCCCTGTCCCTAAAGCAATGGGCCAATCTGTCATCCTCTACAACAGCAGTTCTTAGCCTTCCTAATGCTGTGACCCTTTAATACAGTTCCTCATGTCATAAAAATCATAAATAAGCCGGGCGGTGGTGGCGCACGCCTTTAATCCCAGCACTCGGGAGGCAGAGCCAGGCAGATCTCTGTGAGTTCGAGGCCAGCCTGGGCTACCAAGTGAGTCCCAGGAAAGGCGCAAAGCTACACAGAGAAACCCTGTCTCGAAAAACCAAAAAAAAAAAAAAATCATAAATAATTGTAATAATAATTTTTTTTTGAGACAGGGTTTCTCTGTGTAGCCCTGGCTGTCCTGGAACTCACTTTGTAGAACAGGCTGGCCTCAAACTCATAAGAGATCCTACTGCCTCTGCCTCCCAAGTGCTGGGATTAAAGACACATACCACCATAAAATTATTATTACTGCTACTTCATAACTGTAATTTTCCTACTGTTATGAATCATAATGTAAATATCTGTGTTTTCCAATGGTCCTTGGGGTTCTTGACCTACAGTTTGAGAACTGCTGCTTAAAACCTTTTAAACCTGTGTCCCAAAAATCAGTCTTTGTTTGTTTGTTTTTGAGACAGGGTTTCTCTGTGTAACTTTGGAGCTGTCCTGGAACTGGCACTGTAGACCAGGCTAGCCTCAGACTCACAGAGATCCACCTGCCTCTGCCTCCTGAGTGCAGGGATTAAAGGTGTGTGCCACCACTGCCTGGCAAAATCAGTCTTTTTCTTTGAAGTCGGATGCGTTTTGTCCAGATGTGTTTTTAGAGACAGTTAGAGTTGGTTGTAATACACTACTCAGGGGATACCTTTGTGCCACTTGGTTTTCCCACCAGTTCTACTACTGTGATGGTGAACTCTGCCTATGTTTATGTCTTTGGTATGTGTACACCACCCAGTGTCGGGGCGGGGGGGGGGGGGGGGACGGAACACTTGCCACATTTGGATACTGATCACTTGAAATGTGGCTAGTTCAAATGGAGATGGGACGTGCTTATAAAACACACACCAGATTTCAAAGACAGTGTGGTGAACAGGATAAGCACCTCAGTAATGATTTTTAGCATTCTTTTTTGTTGAAATGATAATAGTTTTTATACTGGGTTAAACAAACTATGCTATTAACTCTAGTTGTTTTGTTTTTAATATGACTACTGAAAAACTGGAAGGCCCCATGCCTTACATCTGTGGTGCATGCTGCATTTCTGTAGGAGAGTACTGATGGAGATCAGCTTCTCTTTTTAAAACGAAATCCTAGTTAAATAATTAAGATGATGTTTTAGGAGCATTAACTTTGGGTGTATTTTTATTTTATTTAAAATTTTGGGTTTATTTTACCATTTATTGTATGGATGTTTTGTCTGCTGTATGCCAGGTGACCATGGATGCCGGAAGAGGGCATCATATCTTCCAGAACTGGAGTTACACACAGTTGTGAACTGCCCATGTGGATGCTGGGAATCGAACCAAGGTCCTCTAGAAGAGCAACCAGTGCTTGTAATGGCTGAGCTCCCGAGTATATTTTAATCTGTTGCCAGTCTAGGTTTTATTGACAGGAAAGAACACCCCACATCCAAGTGAGATACATTTTATATTACTTCACACAGATAATTATCCCCAGTGTTAGTACATTTTGTATTCTAGCAGACCACAGACTGGATGATTGATAATGAACAGAGAGTTTGTACATAGTTGCAGAGGCTGAGAAGGCCAAGGTCAAGGGGCCACGTTTGTCAAGGGGCTTTTGGCTCTATCACAGTGTGACAATAAGCATTGTGTAACTAGAGAGCAAGAGAGGACAGAATGTGCCTTTATAGCAAACCTATTCCCTTCGAAAGAATTCATTCCTAAAGTAACGCGAATTCATCCATGACTCATAAAGGAGCTACCCCTGACTCTGGGGTTTCTCACACATGAACTTTGGGGACACATCCTCACTATTGCAATACATGAAAAACCCACTCAGATTTCCTGTGATGCTATGGAGCTATTCAAAGTGAAGTTAAGCAACTGTCCAAAGTCATACCACTCCCAAGAGTGGAGCCCGGCTTGAAGGCAGGCAGGCTGCTCAAGCCTGGCCCTTCAGCCACAAACCTGATGGAACAAGGTGCACTGAGAAGCCATGCAAACCTGCCCAAGAAGGTACAAGCGCAGCTTAACTGGATGAAGCCTCTCACATAATCTCTCCATGTCTCAGTGGCGCCTCCTTTTCTAACTTTCATCAGCATGGCTGCACAGACACACACCTATTTGCAGCGATTTCAGCTTTAATGAAACCAGAATACAGAGCATTCCTCTGACATCTGTTCTCAGTGTTGTGAAGTCAGCTCTATTCTCTGCCACTAATTATATTAACTATTTTTAGGGCAAACTGTCAGTGCACCATACTTATTCATGCTTCCTACATTCCCAATTTGTTTTCTTTAGCCATATCTATTTATATCTTAAGGGCTTTTTAAAGAGATGCCCTCATTCTGCCAATGATTAAGTTTGGGGCTTGTAATTAAGTTATAAAACACATTGGGATGGGGAATGACATGCCATGAGGGTATTATTGGTGGCTACTAGATTGCTTTTTGAATTCTGAATAAAAATTCATGTTAACACTTGGAATCAAAAAGTTGCAGGTCAGGGAGGGACCTGAGATCACCTACTTGTAGATTTTAGACCACAAACTTGAAAGCTCTGTGACCCTGTGATCCTGGGGCTGCTAGTGTAGCCTTTGTTAACTTCAGTTTCCTTCTCTATAAAATGAAAAACTAAGATGGACCTTCCAGAGTTTCTCGGTGGGTTAAACGAGGGTTTTAATTGTTTCTTGTCACTTTCATTCCACCATACTAGTGACAGCTGTGATTTACTAACACTGCTATTTTACCATAATTTCCCCCAGATACCACCAAAGGTGTCTAATCTCTTCTGGCACACTTGGTCCAATTTCAACAGGTCATTCTGTCCTCTGTTCCCCACGCCCCAAGACTCATGAACCCTCCCCTTGGGTGGAGAGATCCTGGGTTAGAAGAAAACTCTATATAGTTTCCTGCAGTAAGAAACACTTAGTCCCACAAGGGCTTATGTTTCCTGAGCCCCCTTCCCCTTTGGGTGGCTAGCCCTTCATGTCATATTGTGAAGTTGTGTTGCCACCAATGGGATGAAATGCAGTCACCACCTAAGGCAGGGGTAAAAGGCAGTGGGCATTTTGTTGAGTATTTTTTGCTGTCTTGGTTGGGGTTCTAGTGCATTCATTTTTCAAAAAGAAATCACCAAATTTTACTGTCTCTGTGTTCCTTTATGCAACACTGCAATTTTTCTCTTCCCAACACTTCCTTCATCCCTCTGTTTGGGACACTCTCCTCAGGCCCAAGATATGTAGTCTGGCCCCTGCTAGATGCAGACTAAATGCTTGAGAACAATTCATTTCTCCCTCAGCAGCCATGTGGAACTTGGAGAGACAATGTATTTGTATGGTGTGTTTTGCTGTCGCCAGTCGGGGGCCCTCTCGGAGGCCGGCATGACACAAAGAAGCGTAGGTCCTTGTCATCCGGATGCTCACTGGCGTCATCCCCTCTTCCTGCCATTCCCAGCGTGTGTGTGTGTGTGGGGGGGGTCCTCGTCGGTGTTTTGACCCTTCTCTGTCACGCGAACTGGAAAAAGATGACTGAAATAGGTCCCTTACTCCAGGCTACTTAATTTAGCGGTCCTGACGCCTGTCGCCTAGCAACACTCGCCGGCCGGCGCCCAGTGCGCAGGCTCAGAACCTTTTCCCGCTCGGCCTCCCGGGCGCGCAGCTGTGACGCAAGCATTCCGCGACTTTTCGGCAGTCACCGCACGCGTGGTACCATGGCTTCCTCGGGGGTGGCGGGTGGGAGACAGGCCGAAGATCCACTGCAGCCGCCGCCGGAGCTGCTGCCGGAGTCCAAGCCGCCGCCGCCGCCTCAGCCTCTACCGGTCGCCGCGCTCCCGCCGCCGCCGGCGCCGCGGCCGCAGTCCCCCTCAGGCGCGAAGGAGGAGAATTACTCCTTTTTACCGTTGGTTCACAATGTCATCAAATGGTAAGGGTCTAGGAGAGGTCAAGACACCAGCTTGCCCGGCCTCTGGTGTTGCTCGTTCGGTCCGAGCAGCCGAAGCCTGGGCTCTCTCTGGGCCACGCCCCATGTTCCCAGGGGGCCCGACAGTCGCCTTGTGAGTTCAGCAACCTCCCCAGGCCCTGAGAGTTACCCTGGGCACCCGGGTGAAGCCCACAGACCGAGCAGATTCACAGGTTCCGCGGTGCAATCCTCTGGTTCGTATCCCAGATCCCGCAGCGTCTTGGGGATGGCTCTCAAGTTCTTACACACATAGTCTGGAGACATTTGTTTGTTTGTTTGTTTTTGTTTTTCGGGATAGTGTTTCCCTGTGTAACAGCCCTAGCTGTCCTGGAACTCGCTTTGTAGACCAGGCTGGCCTAGAACTCACAGAGATCCGCCTGCCTCTGCCTCCCGAGTGCTGGGATTAAAGACGTGTGCCACCACGCCCGGCCTTCTGAAGGCAATTTTATACATATATAGTTTTAATTTCCCTGCATTTTGACTGTTCATACGAAGCCTAGTGTGGAATTTCCCACTTGTAGCATTATGTGGGCCCTGAAAAGTTATCGAACATTGGTGGATTTTAGATGTTAAGATTCGAGAGTCTCACCTTGAACACTGTTCCTGTTTCAATGTTAGATAGCATCTTTACCCACGTGGCACTGTTACATACTATGGATGTATACTGGAAAGGAACCAGCGATTTGCCATCACAGGACTTACCAGTTAGAAGCAGAGAAAAACAAACATAATAGTCTATCATTTTTAAAATTGGAGAGGGAAGGGGTGATGCTAGAAAACATTTGAAACAAAGACACGGAAGCTGCTCCAAATGATTATGTCGCAGTGTTAACTACTCTAACGGAACATCCAAGGATGTGGGTGTCATGTTTTTGGCCCAACATCTCCAGTCTCCAAGATGGCTTACATTTTTTGTTATCTCCATACATAGTTGTGTCAGTTCCAAGAGGTACACTGTTGTACAAGCATTCTCATCTCAAGTGTGCTTTGATAAACTTAGGTGGCGCAGGACAGTCACCCCCTGGGGCCCCTTGGTGCTGTCTGGATTCTTGGGAACAGTAAGAAAGAGGTGGATGGTTTGGTGGGTGAGAATACTTGCTGTGCAAGCGTGAGGACCTGAGCTTGAATCCCCAGCACCCCCATAAAAAGCCGGTCATGGCCGCTCATGCCTGTGGCCCCAGCATTTCAGGGCAGAGACAAACAGGTCTTGAGAGGTCTGGCCAGCCAGCCTGGCTGAAACTGTGAACTTCCCATTCGTTAGGAGACCCTGTCTCAAGGCAATAAGGTGAAGAGTGACAGAAAAAGACACTTTCTTTCCCTACTTCGACATGCCTACCCGCACACTCACAGGCATTCACAGACCTGAATAACAACTCCCCCCCTCCCCCCAAACACACATACAAGGCATACCACACATATAGTAAACAAAAAAGAGTCTTGTTAACATGGGAGGTATAAAAGTTGCTGCTGGTGTATTAGGACATCTGTTGAAAGGGGGAATTTTATTTATATATTTGTTTGTTTGAGACAGTGTTTTGCTACAAAGCCCAGACTGCCTTTGACCTTTTGATCCTCCTATCTCAGCTTCCTGAGTGCTGGGACTATAGGCGTGTACCATTATACCTAGCAACTGTGAATCTCTTAGTAGGAAGGAGTGTGCTTTAAAAATCACAGTAAGAAGTTCAGTATAGTAAATGCATAAACTAGTGACATCGTTATTATCATTATCAAGCATTAGGCACTATCTGTAATTGTATATGCTGTACTTTTATACATCTGGCAGTAATTATTGTTTTTTTTTCCACAGTAGTGTGAGTGATGTATTCTGCTGCAGAGTTACCACAGCTACTGTGTTCCTAGGCACATTTTGGTTACATTATAACCTTTAGACTATTACTGTTTATATGATCTGATTATTGACCAGGTTATTCAGCGCTGACTGGATAGACACAGGACACTAGGTGCAGACCCCTGAACTTGTAACTTCTGCTAAACCATTAAATACTAAAAGTGAATTAAGACAAGATTACAGTACCAGTCATGTTTATGAATATTGGCATGCCCTTAGATGTTTCACTGATATGGAACTGCCATTTGGCCTAAAAATCTTAAAAGCCAGCTTCATTGGAGTTGAGGCAGCCTAGGTCCCTTGCTGTGTGGTGGCTTGGTACTTACCTTAGTTAGGATTATTAGGGCTGTGATGAAACACTATGCCTAAAAGCAGATTGTGAAGGAAAGAGTTTATTTGGCTTACACTTCCATTATCACTGGAGGAGGTCAGAGCAGGAACCTAGAAGCAGGAGCTGATGAGGAGGCCATGGAGGAAGCTGCTTACTGGCTTGCTCCACATACCTTGCTCAACCTGCTTTCTTTTTCTTTCTTTTAGTTTTTGGAGACAGGATTTCTCTATAAAGCCCTGGCTGTTTTGGAACCAGGCTAGCCTCCAGCTCAGAGATCCAACTGCGTTTGCCTCCCGAGTGCTGGGATTAATGGTACGGGCTACCACGCCCAGCTTCAGTGTGCTTTCTTACTAGAATCTAGACCATCCTCCTGGGGTAGCTCACCCACAATGAATGGACTGGGCCCTCCCGTATCAATCACAAATTCAGAAAATGCTTTATAGGCTTGTCTTCAGCTGATCTTGTGGAAGTATTTCCTCGGGTAAAGCTTCCTCTTCTCTGATGACCCTGGCTTGTGTCAAGTTGACATAAAACTAGCAGGCGCAGTGCTCATCTGCAACTTTTCAAACGATGGCGAAGCTTCGGTTCTCACGTTAGACTCTCGGCCTCAGACAACACGAACGCCCTGTTTGTGGAGTCAGGCATTCTGCCCCTTTATGGTAGCTTTTGGCAGATACGTTAGTGAGACAGAAGAGAGGGAGGCGAGCAAGCAGACAGCCACAAGCCCTCACCATCTCAGGCAGTGCTGGAGTATTGGGGTTATCCAGAGTAACCCAGATAGACACGGAAACATTAAAGCACAGATGGGTGCCCATTCACCCATACTGCAGAGCGGATGCTCCCAAGCCAGCAGAGCACTTGGGTTGGTTGGGCCAGCCTTAGGGACAGGAAGTGAGATGTACCAAGAACATGCTATGAACTCAGGGTCTGAGTTCAAGTCTGTACTGAGGCTCGCCTTACCATCTTTGTAAATACTTAACCTTCCCAGGCTGTAATTTTCCTGTCTCTATTCATCAGTAGATCCAAATGCTGGGCATGGTGGTGCATACCTTTCCTCCCAACACTTAAGAGACTGAGGCTGATCTCTGAATTTGAGACCAACCTGGTCTACATGTCTAGTTCCAGGCCAGCTAGGAACAATAGGTTCAAACTACAGTTCTGTGGCTTATGGCTAGGTAGCCTTGGGCAGGTAACTCTGCTTCTCATAGAACTGGGAGAACTCTAAGGTGCATGCCTATGAGAGATGACAGGTTGATCATGCCAGCTTGTCTAAAAGAATTTTATTTTATTTTATTTATTTATTTATTTTTTTTGGTTTTTCGAGACAGGGTTTCTCTGTGTAGCTTTGCGCCTTTCCTGGATCTCGCTCTGTAGACCAGGCTGGCCTCGAACTCACAGAGATCTGCCTGCCTCTGCCTCCCAAGTGCTGGGATTAAAGGCGTGCGCCACCACCGCCTGGCAGGATTTTATATTTTATGTTTATTTATTTAGCATAAGAAGAGGAAGGACAGGCAGTGGTTGCCGGAAAACAGCTGGCAGGGGCTAACTCACCTACTGACTCGGAAACAGCTGCCTTGATCATGCATGGCTTCCCCACTCCTCAGGGCCTGTAGTGGTAGAAAGAAGGTAGTCTAAGAATGGGGAAGTCTCAGAAGGACACACCCACAGTCCTGACTCGCTCCCCTGCCCGAAGCAATCCGATAATACCCTTCTTCCATCCTGTGGACAGTGAAAATATTGCTCTGCTCAAGATTGATCCTTTACAAGGATAAGCCAGAGTCAGGGTGGGACACAGCATACTTCGGGACTGGGAAGGAAAACCAGCTGGAAATGGGTTATGAGCCCCTCGGGCACCCCTGCAGTGTGGCTGCTAGCCTGGCGGAGAGTAAGGTATCCTCCTGGAGTGTCTGACCTGCTAAAGGGAAAAGACTGGGAAAGAAAAGGACCCCCGGGAGAACAGCCTTCTTCAAGAAAAACCGGTTCCACTCATCCTACAAGAGTGAAGATATGTCATTCCTACTCAGCCTTTAGCAGCTCACGTGTAAGTGTGTGACTGGCAGTGCTGGCCACTAGCCACATAAAAGAAACTGCAGTAAGCCAGGCGGTGGTGGTGCACGCCTTTAATCCCAGCACTCAGGAGGCAGAGGCAGGCAGATCTCTGTGAGTTCGAGGCCAGCCTGGTCTACAGAGCGAGATCCAGGAAAGGTGTAAAACTACACAGAGACACCCTGTCTCGAAAAACAAAAACAACAACAACAAAAAAAAAACCAAACTTTTGGGGTTGGGGATTTAGCTCAGTGGTAGAGCGCTTGCCTAGCAAGCACAAGGCCCTAGGTTCGGTCCTCAGCTCTGAAAAAAAAAAAAAGAAACTGCAGTAAGAAAGACAGAGCCCCCAGGCGGAGGTGGCACACGTCTTTAATCCCAGCACTCAAGGCAGGATCTGAGTTCGAGGCCAGCCTGGTCTACATAGCGAGTTCGAGGACAGCCAGGGCTATTTACACAGAGAAGCCCTGTCTCCAGGGTGGGGAGAAAGAAAGACAGGATCCAAGAGAAAGCAGTATGCTCAGAGAGGTCAGCTGGTACTGTCTCCATGAAAAAAGGTAGGTCCAGTCTGAAAGCTCTGGGATATTGGGTGAGCTTTTAGGCAAGTGAGGGAAAGAGATTAGGACTATGGCAGGGACGGGAAGGAAGGGACTTAGGAAGCCTGAAGTGGCAGCTCATGGTGAGTGCTGCCACTGAGTTTGATATTCCAAGAGGGAGGAAGGTCGGGTAGACAAGCTGTGC